ATAAGAAAGACATGGAATGAACCTAGATGCCCATCAACCTAGATGCCCATCAATGGTGGACTAGTTAAAGAAAATGTGGTACGCATACACTATTGAATACTATGCAGCCATATAAGAGAACCGGATTGTTTCCTTTGCAATAACATGGATGAAACTGGAGTCCATTATTCTAATTGAAGTTACTGAAGACAGAAAACCAAATACTGTATCTTCTCATTTCTAAGTGGGTGCCAAGCACTGAATGCACACAGGCACAGAGCAGGGAACAATAGACACCAGGACCTACTTGAAGGGGGAGGGTGGAATGAGAGTGAGTACTTTGAAACTACCTATTGGCTATTATGCTAATTACCTGGGTGACAAAATTTTCTGAACGCCAAATCCCTATGGCATGCAATTACCCATGTAACCAACCTCCAGATGTACCCCTTGAAACGAAAATAAAAGTTTTAAAGGAGAAAAAAGGAATCTGGAAGTTTGTCCATCCTATGCAATGGACACTTCCAGGTGCAAAGTTTGAGAAGCTGGGGATGAGATACGTTGTTCAGCCCTAGCTGATATATGGAAAGCTTCCTTCCATACTTGCTATGGTTGCTTTGCAACCCAGTGGCTAGTAAAGGATTGTTTTCTAAATTACCAAAATGTTCAAATATTAGTAACTAATTGATCAACTTGGAGAAAGCAAGTCTTCTGCAGTTGGCGGGGGGGGGGGGGGGCGGAAAGAAAGAAAGAAAAAGTGTATAGAAGGCAAGAAACAGTGTTGACTTTCGAACCAGCTTAATAAAAGTAATTTTTGTTCAACTCCCATTCCTTTCCATTTTTGTACTTCAAAAAAATATTCTGAGCCTCAGATTCCAAGGCTTTTGATTTGAAAAGCTAAATAACTTTTGTTACTCCTCTTTGTAATTTTGAAATTATATAATGATGTTCTGAAGAGTAAAGATCAGAAAGTAATGGGAAGAAACAAGTTTGACATCTGTCAATTCTATTGTCTGTCTCACTTTTTTCTTTAAGATATTTCTATCACTGTACTTTGAATTTAATACCCAAAGAGTAACTACTGTCTAGGTTGTCAACTTGAAATTAGATATCAACTTGGAGATTCAGAATATATAGAAATGAATTCATCAAACCTAGAAGATTTCAAGAAAGAAATTAAAAAGTCTTGAACTGTCATGCAACAGCAAACAGTATTACAGAAATAATCACCTATGTTAAAAATTTCCATCCCAAAACAATATTCTAGATATATTTAATGCTTGTTGCTTCATATATTGATAATCTATTTTGTTCACAGTATTACGTTTAACGTGATTTGGCAGGGCAGACAGGAATTTTGAAACATTTATGAGCTATAAACCTTGCCTTCTGCAAAGCTTTACCTTGTGGGAGCGTGAAATCATATACAAGAGGGTGGCAGCAAACGTGTAGAAGCAGCTTAAATGTTTAATGATATGGAAATTATAAAATAAATTATACTTTGCACAGTGACATTATATAATGAGTAAAAATAATTCTCAAAATAATTTTTAATAACATGAAAGCATGCCTAAGATATAAAATTAAAAGGGAAAAATAACAATTTTAGAATTGAACAGATAGCCATTTAACTGTTCTATGACCAACTCTGCGCTGTTGTCAAGGAGGAATCTGCTGCTACCTGGTTGCTCCCTCACCAGTAGGTCTCATCTTCCTTCTGTTCCAAGATACTTTGGAAGGCTGAAGAGTGAAGGGGGTTTCAGACCAGTGAAGAACTGTGATGTTAGAAAGTCTAGTAGCTTGGATGAAAGTCTGTTCCCACAAACCCTCAGCAATGTGGATTGTTAGCTATTTCCATTTTTCTCCAAGATACAATTCCCTGGTACTTCTGTAATTTTCTAAATGGTGCCCTGATAATCTAAGAGTATCTTTGTGAACTTCCAGATGAGCTTAAAGTGTTTTTCATTTATTTTTCTTTCATTTTAAAATGAAATAACACAAGCTAAAAGGAAAACATCATAAATAAAGGAGATTTACAATTGCTGCTCTGTATTCACGGAGGTGGAAGATTGATTTCAAAAGGCCTGGAGTTACCAAAATCTGTGGTTGCTCAAGTCCCTGATGTAAATAAAACTGCATAGTATTTGCATATAACCTATATAAATTCTCTCATGTAGTACTTTAAACTGTCTCTAGATTACTTGTAATACCTAATACAATGTAAATGCTATATAAATAGTTGTTATACTATATTTTATTTGTATTATTTTTATTAATGTATTATTAATTTTTACTGTTTTTGAATATTTTTTATTCAAGTTGGTTGAGTCTGTGGACATAGAACCCACAGATATGGAAGGCCAACTGTATATTATGATCATGTTCTATAACCCTGAATGAATTTCTTAATAGTGCTCTACACTGTGTTCCACATCTATAAAACCATGGTCTTTTCTCCTATGGCCATTCTGATTGTTTATAAATTGTTGTCAGTAGCGTTAAAGAAACCTATTATGAAATCTTATTATAAAATAGCCATTAAAAGCAAAGACTGATATTGGTACGGACGTAAAGAATCATTAATGAAGCAAGATTTATTTTTTGAGAGAGACTGTCGATGTGAAATGCATGCTGATGAAACTAGAGTTTGTTCTTATTTAGGTTGCTGATCTTTGAGAAAATAATTTAAACAGTGTCAATGATGAGCATTATCCTATTAGCACAAATGCAGATGTTTACCAGTTGAACTACGCTACAAACTCTTGACTTCACTTGAAAACTCATCTATGGAGGAGTATGGCTCAGTGGAACAAAAAGTGACAGAGACCTTACTCCTTGTCAAGTACTAGCCCAGATATAAAGAGGGCTTTTCATGGTTACAGTTCTCAAGAAGCTTATAGAAGTGGAAAGAAACACAGATAAGAAAAACAATTGTAGTATAATATGGTAAATGACAACATAGTGTTATGTGAAGACAGACATGATACCGTGAAGTTTGATGGCAAATTTCTTAGAGATGGTATTTGAGCTAAAACTTACAGAATGAGAAGAAAAATAAAAAAGATAGGGGCCTAGGTGAAGAGAGGAACGATTTTCCAGGCACAGGGAATAGCATGTACAAACAGGAAAAGAATTGTGAAACTGAATGGTATATGAAAGAAATTATAAAACTTTAAAAATTGTTATAGCAATCTGATACTGCTGCAACATTCATGTTATTGTATTTTTTAAAATGTCTGTTTGTAGCTGAATAGATATTGTTAGAAACCAACATTGTTCTTCACTATAAACAGCTTGAGAAGCGTTGACCTCTGACTGGGAAATAAGGCTCAAGTAGTAGAGGGTACTAGATCACAGGAAGCCTTGTTTCCCAAGGTAAATCATGAAGGACTGCATGAGGCTGGAATGAAGTACTAACTTTCTTCATTCACTAATGACATCAAAAGTCTATCCACAAAGAAGGGAACAACAGATAATAGGGCCTTCTTGAGGGTAGAGGGTGGGAGGAGGGTGAGGATCGAAAAAATACTATGCTTATTACATGGGTAAAATAATCTGCACAAAAAACCCCACGACATGCAGTTTACCTATATAACAAACCTGTACATATACCCATGAACCTAAAATAAAAGTTTAAAGAAAAGAAGATAAAAATAAAAAAAGAAGTCATTTATCATTTTGAGGAACCCCTCACTTTACCTTGGATATAAAATATGCCTAAAAAACTAGTTCAATAATTGAAAGACAGGCCTTGTCTGCAATCATTCTTCAAATCATGGTACTTAAGCTACACCATGCTCTGGCATGTGCTCAACCACCTATCAGACATAAATGCTCTGGGAGGAAGTCACAGATATCCTGTTCTACAATCATTTCCTTATCCTAAGACTTGACGTGAATACCTGTAGCTGCTACCTGCAGGCCATGGCAACCAATGTCCAACGTTCCCCCATGTAAAGCAACAGTTCAGCCATCCCTATCAAAGGACTTGCCTTCACCAACCAAACCAGAAAAGAGTTGGTTACAGGTCTCCGCCACTAGTACCACTCCCCATACTCCACCACACATACCATATCATGCTCTCCCCAGACCCTAGCAACAGCACTGCCATCACCAACACAACACCATCTAATCCCTGACAGGTTGGGCCACTGCCCGTTTCCTACTTGGGACACAGAAGTCTCCATCTCTTGCTCTTTTATAGACCAATACTGAAAGTTGTTCCTACACTGCAGAGAAAAATGCAAAATACTAAACCAAAGGCTTGGCTATCTTTCCTATGAAGAAGTGGCAAATGGTATTCCTTCATTCTTTCTTCTGATGCCTATTCATCCTTCTCCCTGATAAGTAGACAGCAGCAAAGCTTTAAGGTTGCCCATAAATTTCTTAATTACTCACATTGTCACCCCAAGCAACAGATCTTGAACTGTACCGCATTAGTGATAGAGTACAGTTAAGGACTTCAAGCAGAAGAGGAATATGAGATTTATGCTTGATATACACCAGTGTATGTTTAAGGTGGAAGACTCATTCAAGAAGAGCAAGACCAGAAGCAGAGAAGTCAGAGGCTATTGCAATATTCCGCTGGAAAAAGATAAAGGCTTAAGCTAGGGAGCCGCAGTATGGAGGAAGATGAAGAGGCAGAATAGAATAGAGAAAAATGTCTGGAGGTTAAAAATTTCATGAAGTGGTGATTGATTGGATGTGGCCGGTGGGGAATGAGGAAGAGAAGGACTATAGACAATATCCACACTCCCATCCTGGGTGTCTGAATGCATTATGGAGGAAATACTGAAGATTGAGATAGTGGAGTGAGGGGAACAGGTTTGGGAAAGAAAACAGTGCTTTTCTTTTCAGATATGTCAAGTTTGAAGTGCTTGAGAGACAATCAAGTGATTCTACTAGGTGGAAAAAAGGTAGCTAGTGACAACCATTTCTTACTAAGAGATGGACTCCCCCAGCATCTCTATTTCTTCTTCGCTTTCTTGGAAACTGAACTTTGTTGTTGTTGTTGCTCACAGGCTTAATCTTCAGCTTCCATGCTCCAAGGGTGGAAAAGGAGAAAGTCCTGCAGAATCAGTCCCGACTTCCATACCTGCTGCTGGCCTCTACACCAGTCGTCTGTCCCAGTAAAGTGATGTCCAGCTGACATGCAACAATTTGACGGAATCAAAAAGAACCCCGGCGCTCTCCAGTCCTCTGACATTTAAAAATTGCATTACTCCATTTATAGGAGCGTTCCTAGGAAAAGGAATTTTAGGAGGGGAATTTGTGAGCAGTGAATCTGACAGCCCAGGGGGTGGACTCGCTGACAGGCATACCTTCCTTAATGTTTAAAGTTTTCTGGGCCAAGAATTTTTATCCATGAAGACTTTCCTACTTTTCTCAGTGTTCTTATATTACCTACTGTTAGTATTTATTGTTTACCACTATGTTAATGCAGGGAAAATGTGCATGTGTATTATTAAATATTAGGTAGAAATCATACCATGCTACTTTGTACATATAAGTATTTTATTCCTGTTTTCGTGTTACTTTTAATAAATAATTACTGTACTCAGTACACTAAAAATACTATAACATGACTGTGAAAATGGCAATGTTATTGTCTTCCCATAATTATGAATATTTTTGGATGGATTATTGGAATATATGAACTCACTAATGAAAGGCATCTGTAATAAGTGAGAAAGGGACATGGGATTCACATATCAGACTCTGTTAGGGAGACAGTAATTTATCAGTTCTTTGGTCTTTCTATTTGTCATTCATCCTACGTGATGAAGATGTAAGTGTAAGGGCATTTATAACACTATACTGCATTCATTAAGATAATAGGGTCGTGATTTTTCATTAGCTCATTTGATTGATATTATCTCCATGCATTTTTTATTTCTTTTAGAAATGTAATTATTTGTTCTAGCAGCCATTGCTAAACCTCTAGTTTGTAGAAAATCAACACTTTATAAATACATAATTATGATATTATTTTTCATTGTATCACTGTTCTAAAAATACCATATGATTATAGCTGCCAATCCATCAGGAGCAAATTCTTCTGATAAAAGCTAGCTGATCAACCTTGACCAATTTTTTGACACGTGAGATCGAAGTGTCAAGTTGGTTGAGGTTTTTTGGAAAGCTTTAGAACTAATAAGCTGCCGGTGGCAGCTTTTTAACGTATGATTATCTAAGTTGATTTTTCATGCTAAATTATCTTAGTGATCTAAGGGGCAGTTTAGTGAAGATGGAATCTTGTATTTAAAATACCCTTTTAAAATTTGTTTTGTTGTGATGTATTTTGACAACTTCCATCTTTAGGAGTTACATAATCACCTTGATTTTAGCTTCCGGATGTTTGGACTATTTATAATCAAGGACACCAAGCAAGCATAAGCATATCTATATTGCTGACTGGTGTCTGTTTGAGAAGGATGGGAAGTAGAAAAAACAAAAAAGAAAGAAAGAAAGAAAGAAAGGAAAGGAAGAGAGGAGAGAAGGCAGGGATCTCCACTATGTATGTTTTCACTTTAGAGCTGTTGTGCCCATGCTTATTTCTAATCTAGAAGTCTTTAAATGGTGAAACGGTGACTGGAGCATGCCAATCAGAGAACGTTTGTCTTCAGAAAATAAAAAAAAAATCTGAGTTCGAGACCAGCCTGGCCAACATGTTGAAACCCCGTATCTACTAAAAATACAAAAATTATCCTGGTGTGGTGGTGCACACCTGTAGTCCCAGCTATTCGGGAGACTGAGGCACATGAATCACTTGAACCCAGAAGACAGAGGTTGCAGTGAGCTGAGATGGCACCTTTGCACTCCAGCCAGTGTGACACAGCATGACTCTGTCGCAAAACAAACAAACAAACAAACAAAAAGAAAAGGAAAGAAAGAAAAGTCCTAGCACCCCTAGATGATTTGCTGAGCTCTTCAGCAAAAGCCATGTTACATACAGCATATTGCAAGGAAATGAACTCTTCTGTAATTTAATTTAAATTATAGGTAATATGTTATTTTGGATCCTAGAGAAACCATTTTCTCTACATTTCATGAGCATTGTTAGAAAAGAGTCTACAAGAATCAGGAAGAGGGAAAAATTTGAATGGTCAGAAAAAAATAACATGTATTCTAGTTCAAGAAGTGCACACAAAGAATATGCATTAACCTAACAAAGATTAAATCTTTCAAAAAGGTCAAAGGAGGATTGAGAAGTTTACAGAGATGTCCATGGCATTTTACATCAATCTCAAAGGTAAGGTCTGCATTTTGTAAACCAACTTAAACATCTGTTGAGATAGGATATTTTGTTTTCAAGCCAAAATTATCATTAATCAAATATGTTTTAATTATGCCTGGCTTACTATAAGTTTTTTATTCTGATATACAGTTCAAATATCATTGCAACAAAGAAGTGCCTGTATTTAGATCAAAAGCAGGACTTTCTATGTGTTTGTTTTACATGATAATATGAAAATAATTTAAGTGTATCAATAGTCAAAACATAAACAAAAGCTAATCAACTGGCACTGTTGTCACCTGAGACTAAGCGGATGTTGTTGGCTAACACACAGGCTCAGCCAGCAGAGAAAGAATTCTGAATTCCCCTTGCTGAACTGAACTATTCTATTGCATATGGTTGACAAATCTGTGTGCTATTTTTTTTCTACCTTCCATATTTAAATGTATGGGTATCAACAAAGGACATAGTCAAACCTTCGACGATGAACATTCCTGATTTTTTGCCTGATTATTCTCTGTTGAGCTCTACTTGTGGTCATTCAAGATTTTATGAGGTTGAAAAGAAAAGTGAATATGACCTTTAAAAGTTGTATTTTGAGTGACTATAGTCTCACCACTATGAAACTGCCAATTATTGCCTAATGTTAAAGATATCCATCATTGTGATTAATTAAACCTATAATGAATATTTTTAATGGAGAATTTGTGATGGATTATCCCCTGATCTTTTCTTTAATATTTCTCTACACACACAGGACTCCTCGTGTTCCACTAAATGAGTGTACTCTGCCCCTACTTCTAGATAATTTGTCTTTTGGGCTTGAATATACTTGCTTTCTGTTCTAAATACTTTTTAAAGAAAAAAAAATTTTGATAAATAAGGGAAAATATTCATTTTGCCATCCATATTACATTCCTGAATGTGAAGTCAGAGTTTCTACCAAAATCAAGATCACCAAGAATAATTTTAAAGCTTCCAAGAACTATTTAAAAGTGTTTTCAAGTCTGACCAAGAATTCTGACATTTAGAAATAAGTAGGAAGATATGACTATTTAAACTCATATTTTCCTTTAAAAAAAGAGAAATTCTAGCAGAGTGATTGTGGGCAATATAATTAGCTAGTTAACACCCCATCCAACATTCACTATGTGCCAGGAACTGTGTAGAAAACTTCACAGTCACCATCTCAGTCAACCATCACAATAATAGTAAGAAACTATTCCTTATATATGATTAGCAGCAGCAGAAACATCTCCCTTATAAAGATATGAAAATCAAGGCAGGTAGTTAAATAACTTGCCCAAGGTTGTACAACTAATAAATAGGAAAAATTTGAATTCCAACCTATGCCCAAATCCCTGTTCTCCATCTCTACACTACTTAGTCTCTCTAAGCCTCAGTTTACTTTTCTATAAGAAAGGATGAAAGCATTATGCTCCAGGTCATAATTAAAAACAGGGACCAGGCCTATCTCACTGTAAACAGTTTGAAAAATGAACAGCGATTTCACACAGTAGACAAGAAGAAGAGCGGAACTGGAATTCATGAGCAAAGAGAAACAAAACAAATGAGCCTTATGAATGCCCTGATTGACACACTCCTGATCGGCTGTCTAGCAGAAGATCCCTAATTAGAACCTGAGATGACAGCGATTGGAACCAGGAGACAAAAGCAGCTGGAATATTTTTGAGAATGGAACCAGGGAGGAGGGAGCTATACAGAGAAAGAACTCAAAAAAACAAACAAACAAACAAACAAAAAACTAAAAACTACAAAGGTGACCTTGTATCTGATAATAATGGGATAGGAAGGTATGAACACACTTAGAGTAAAACTCCATGAGACCAGGAAAAGAATAACTGGGAAAGAGCAACTAAGTAGTTGTATGCTGAAAATTTCTAGGTCTTATATGGAGCAGAGAAACATTCAAGGTCTGGTCAAGCATATTCAAAAATCCTCACTGGTCACCTTTCTTAATATCCTGGGAATGGTTGTATCTTAGTAGTTGTTCTAAAACACCCCTAGAGTATACACAACTGTAGGTAAGCCCTAACACAGCTTAAAAGTAGCCTTGCAGGAATTAAGTTAATCCACAAAATATTTAACAGACTTCCAGAACAAAGACTGAGAATCTTTTATAAAGACAACAAAATGGAGTATAACAACAACTCAACAACATAAAGGTCTAAATACCCACCATTTAATCCAAAATTATATACATGCCCCAGAGAATTAAATTGTGAACCATAAACCCTGAGAAAAATTTATTAATGACAATAGAGTAAGTCAGATTGATAAAAAGTATGAGTACTTTACAACAAATTCCATGATGTTGCTATTACTTGATAATAAAACCAGTCAAAGATATTACAAAAGAAAACCTACAGACTAATAGCCCTCATGCACAAAAACATCAAAACTATTTGCTAAATATTAGCAAATCAAATATATAAAATTAAAAAGTAATAAGTGAGATTTATTCCAGGAATCCAAGTTGTCTAATATTTGACAATCTATAATTGGGATTGTGATTCAACATATGAATAGAATAAAGGAGAAAAATTATATGCTTATCTCAATAGATGTAGAGAAAGCATTTGACAAGATTAATATTTATTTATGATAAAACCTCTCATTATACTAAGATTAAAAGAAAACTTCCTCAACCTGATAAAGGACATTTATGAAAAACACACAGCTAAATCTTACATAAATGGTAAAAATCTAAATGCTAAAATCTAAATCTAAATGCTACATTCTAAAATTAGAAAGAAAATAAGCATATTCACTTTTACCTATTCAACATTGTTCTGGCATGGGGGCAGGGTAGTTATAGCAAATGTAATAATGCAAGAAAAAAACATATAGATTGGAAAGGAAGATGATAAGATCATACGTAAATCCTGATGTTTACAAAAAAAGCTACTAGAATTAATAACTGAATATGTTAGAGTTGCAGGATACAAGATCGATACACAAAATCAACCGATATCTTTTGCTAGTAACAAAAAATGAAAATTGAAAACTTTAAAAAGTACAACTTAGAATATTGTCAACAAATGTAAAATTCTTAGGGATAAATTTTTCAAAATATATGCACTTCTTATACCCTTAAAACTGTCTAACTTCTGAGAGAAATTAAAGAACACTGGCTCATGGACTAAAAGACTCAATATTATTAAGATGTCACTTGCATTTAAATTGATGTATAGATCCATTACAATTCCAATCCAAATTCAGCTATCCTTTTTATAAAAATTGATAAGATGGTTCTAAAGTTTATATGGAAATGCAAAGTACTTAGAATAGCTAAAACGTTTTTTTAAAGCAAAAAGTTGGAGGACATACTACTAGATTTAGAGACTTAATATAAGCTACTGTAATCAAGACAACATGCTGCTGACTTAGAAATATAATGTAATTGATGGAACAAAATGGAGATTCCAGAAAAAAGCGTTTTTCTCCCATATACACACACATTTATGGTCAATTGATTTTTTTTACAAGTGTGCCATAGTAATTCAATGAGGGAAATGAAGTCTTTTTAATAAATGGCTCAGTATACTAGGATACCCAAGTACAAAAAAAACAAAAACAAAAGAAGTTCAACACTTAGCTCACACCATACACAAATATAACTCAAGATGTGTCATAAACTTAAATATTAAATTCAAATCTATGACATTTGCCTTCCTTAGAATCAGTAAAGATTTCCTAGATAAGGTACAAAAAAATTAAAACTAAAAACAAAATGATAAATTGAATTTTATCAGAACTAAAAATTCCTGCTTTTTAAATGAGAATTAATAAACTGAAAAATACAAGTCAAAGAATAGATGATTTACATTATACATGTATATATACACACACACATATAAACATGACAAATGGCTTGTATCTGGAATATGTAAGGAATGCAAAAATTTAAAAAGAAGAAGACAATTTACTAAAAAATGGGGGAATATTTGAACAGATAATTCACAAAAGAAGATGTATGACTTGCCAACATACACATGAAAATACACTCAATATCACTTAGTCATCAGGAAAGTGCAAATGTAAAACCACAGTGAGCTACCACGACATACCCACAGGCATGACTAAAATTATAAAGGCCACTGATGCCAAGTGTTGGTGGGAATATAGAGAAACTAGAACTCTCTTGTGTTGCTAGTGGGAATGTAGACTTGCACAACCATGTGGAAAACAATTTGGCAGTTTCTTTAGAAGTTAAACATATAGGTCTCATATGATACAGCATTGCCACTTTTATCCATATTTACCCGAGAAAAATAAACACATTTGTCCTGTCTATACAAAGACCTATAATCAAATTTTCATACTAGCTCTATTCATACCAGCCTGAAGCTGTAAACAATAAACAAATTGTGGTATAGTCATACAATTGAATACCACTCAGCAATAAAATGAAACTACTGATATACCCAGTTAAATGGCTACATCTCAAAAACATTATGCATTGTGCTGCACAAAAGTAGCTAGACACAGTGGAGCACACACTTCATGGCTTCATGATATGAAATGCTAGAAAAGAAATGAGACCACTGGCCGCCCAGAGCCCAGGGATGGAGAATCGCCAGGAAAGAAGCACAAGGAAATGATTTGGTATGATAAAATGTTCCGTAGTTTGATTAAGGTATCAGTTACATGGGTGTATATATTTGCCAAAACTCAGGCTATACACATAAACTAGGTATCTTTTTGTATGTAAGATATACTTTAATAGAACTGACTCTAAAAATATTTTTAGAAACTCACAAGTAGGGAAGGATATTACTAACTTTCTGTTATGGGCCAAATTATGTCCTCCCATTACCTCAGAATGTGACTGCAGAGATAAGATCTTTAAAGAGATAACTAAGGCTAAATGAGGTCATTAGGGCGAGTCCTAATCCAACATGACTGGTGTCTATAAGACGAGGAGGTTCGAACACAGACACATATACACACTCACACACACAAACACATACAGAGAAGGCCACGTGAAGTCATCCACAGTGGCCACCTACAAGCCAAGGAAAAAGACCACAGAATGAAACCAACCCTGCTGATGCCTTGATTTTGGATTTTGAGGAAATAAATATCTTTTTTTTTTTTTTTTTCTCCTGAGATGAAGTCTTGCTCTGTCACCCAGGCTGGAGTGTAGTGGTGCAATCTTGCCTCACTGCAACCTTCGCCTCCCGGGTTCAAGAAATTCTCTTGTCTCAGCCTCCCTTGTAGCTGGAATTACAGGCGTGCACAACCACTCCCAGTTATTTTTTGTATTTTTAGTAGAGACGGGGTTCCACCATGTTGGCCAGGCTGGTCTAGAACTCCTGACCTCAGATGATCCGCCCACCTCAGCCTCCCAAAGTGCTGGGATTACAGGCATGAGTCACAGCACCCGGCCTAACTGTCCATTGCTTAAGCCACCCAGTCTGTGATACTTTGTTAATGGCTGCACCCCACAAAAGATTAAACTTTCCTACAGGGTTATTGAGACAATTAAATGAGATTATGAAGTACGGCGGACATAAAAATATTAACATTTTCTCTCATTTATTCCAGTGACCGGAAGGGCTAGAAATATTCATGCTTACATTCCAGATTAATTGTCAAGCCTGAGACTTCTTTCCAACAGCTGGGAAAATTTCTAAACGTTTCTATTCTATCACTAGATTAGAGCCATCTAAATTCCTTTTTTTTTTTTTTTTTTTTGAGATGGAGTCTGGCTCTGTCGCCCAGGCTGGAGTGCAGTGGCCGGATCTCAGCTCACTGCAAGCTCCGCCTCCCGGGTTTAC